GTAGCTTTGCGCGAAATTCAAAACAAACAAACCATTAGACTCGTCCAGTATACAAAGTAAAGAAAATGTCAAGTTTAAAGAACAACTGACTTTTTATTATGGATCTTTAACTGACTGGAACTAAAACAGGATAATTTCTTGCTATGAAAAACCGTTTGTTTTTTAATTTCGTGCAACGCTACTCGAGGGCCATCTGCGCTAGCCGTTCCTAATTTAGCAGTGATATCCTAGAGAGAAGGCAGCTACTCAACAACGCCCACCGACAACTCTTGGGCTACTCTTTTACCAACGAATAGTGGGATTGTCCGTCATCACCTTATAACGCCCCCCCCCCCCATGACTGAAATGGCGAGTATTCGAAGAATTCGAGCCCGCGACCCGCAGATTGCGAGCTTGAAAAGAACAAGGGAAAACTCGTACAATGTTCTAATATAGAGTATTACATAGTCAGCAAAAATTCACATAATAACTGATACCTACTAGTAAGTAAGAATTACTTGTACTTTTAAATAATGTATTTAAGTTAAGAATATCAAAGCTTTTTGTTGTTCTGTTTTATTTCTGTATCTTACAGGGTTTTGTTTTTCATTCTGCCAAATTGCAGAAAATTTTACTCTAACGAAAAAATAATCGTGAGTTGATTTTTCGAAAATCTGCTGATGTAACTACGTGAAGCATGAAATAGATCCCGTAAGTCGTTAAGTTATCCCTAAAGGCGTCGCCCCCCAGTGGCACAGTGGTATGTCTGCTGACTTATACTGCTAGAGCACAGATAGCCCTTTGTGTAGCTTTGTGTCTAATAACAAACAACCCTAAAGGCGTCGTGTTGACTCAATGAAGCATCAAACTGACCACGTAAATCGTCAGCTTGATTCTGTAAAACATCATATTGATTTCGTAAATCGTCAGCTTGTTCTGTAAAACATCATATTGACCACGTAAATCGTCAGCTTGATTCTGTAAAACATCATATTGATTTCGCAAGTTAAGTAGATCTCCTAAGATGTAAATTTAAGTTCATAAAGCGTTAAGTTACCTTTAAATTCTGAAGTTAATCCCACAAAGCGACAAGTGGACACCGTGAAGCGACATATTGTTTCTTTTCGATTAACTTTTTAAATGTTTTTTTTTCCTGTTGTTGTTTTAATGATTCGAACGACAAAGAAAGGTACATAAAACATCATTTTCTTTTTTTTACTTAGCCATAAAACTGGGATTATTTATTATTAATAATTAATTAATAACAACTGGTCAGATCCCCCAGAGAAAATCAGGTTTCGATACAAACGCTGAAATCTGGTGTTCGATTTCCCCCGGTGGACACAGCAGATAGCGGGCTTGCTCCAAACCAAAACTACCAACATATAAACTTCTGTTCCCTCCCTCAGTGGTAAGTCTGCAGGCTTACAAGATAAAAACGTTTTAAATATAGGGTCTTATTTCTAATTTCTCCGTACGATTACAGCAACAGTTAATGGCATGGAATGGCCTAGTGGTTAGGGCGCTCGACTAGCAATCTGCGGGTCGCGAGTTCGAATCCCGTCACCGAAAATGCTCGCCTTTTCAGCAGCGAGGATGTTATAAAGTAACGGTCAATCCCACTCAGTAATGACAATTACGCTAGATGGCAGTAAATTCGTCGATATTGTAAACGGAGGACCAGAGTTAGGCCTACAAACCAACGTTATAGTCCCACAGGTTGAGAATATAGATATCGTAAGTTATTTTGTCCTGATAACATGGCCAGGTGGTTAGGGCGCTCGACTCGCAATATGTGGGTCGTGAGTTATAATGTGACGGTCAATCCCACTAGTCGTTGGTAAAAGAGTAGCCCAAGAGTTGGAGGTGGGTGATGTTGACTAGGTGCTTTCCCTCTAGTGTATCAGAAATAACTTAGGGACGGCTAGATCAGATATCCCTCGAGTAGCTTTACACGAAATTTCAAAAATAAGCAAACAAGGCAACACTTAGACGAAATCCCTACAGACAAACAATGCGTTATCGCGGACTTACAACGCTATAAAAACTTGGTTTCAATACCCGTGGTGGTCACAGCACAGATAGCCCTTTTTGTAGCTCTGTGCTTAATTACAAACAAATTAAATAGTTTAACTGAGTAACAGAATACAACAGCTGTTGTTAGCGTTGTTTTGTTCTATTGTAAAGCTGCACAATGGGGGGAATCGAGGAGAATCTAACCTTGGACTTTAGAGCTGTAAGTTTGTAAGCTTACTGCTGACCCTTGGGGGGGGGGCATTAGCTGATGTTACAATATTTCTATTGTTTTTTCTCCTAATCATAATTTTTTAACAGAAAGGTTATGGGTTAAAGGTTGATCAGATCAGGTGATTTTGACCTCATTTCTCTCTTGTGTTAACACCAGGGTTATAGTTCATTGCAGTATATGGTCGCAGCTGGGTGTTAAGAGCCATAAAATTGACTTCGTTTAAAATATCAATAAAGTATTCGCGACGGTAAACGAGAGAGAGAAAAAAAAAACGTTTTTGAAAATTGACTGATATATTCCTTTTACCCCCTTTTTTTCATCCATGCAGGGTTTCGGAAAAGTCTGGAACCATAGGTGATTTGTAGCTTTTCTTAATTACAGACACGTGACTGATTATGGTTCTGTCAAAACATGAGAAGGTCGAGTTAATCCTGCTGTTAATCCAAACTTGTTTAGAATTACAAGAACAGCACGTGGAACACATTCTGTAAAGTTCGTTGAAGTACCTATGGTTCCAGACTTTTTAGAAATCCTGTGTGTGTGTATATATATATATCAATTGAATGTTGAATAAGTACAACTAAATGTATCAAATAAAACTTAAAGATTATAAACTAGCCATACCCGAGACCATCATGGATCAAATACAACTTAAAAATCATAAACTAGCCATACCCGAGACCATCATGGATCAAATACAACTTAAATATTATAAACTAGCTATACCCGAAGCCATCATGGATCAAATACAACTTAAAAATCATAAACTAGCCATACCCGAGATCATCATGGATTAAATACAACTTAAAGATTATAAACTAGCCATACCCGAGACCATCATGGATCAAATACAACTTAAAGATCATAAACTAGCCATACCCGAGATCATCATGGATCAAATACAACTTAAAGATTATAAACTAGCCATACCAGAGACCATCATGGATCAAATACAACTTAAAGATCATAAACTAACCATACCCGAGACCA